GGACAAGTGACCCCGCCCACCGTGACGTCAGGGCTCGGGTTGGGGGCGGGGCCGGACGGCCTGGCTCCGCGCCCTCTCGTCCAGGCCTCCAGAGCGGGGAAACTGAGGCCAGCGGCCGCCTGTTCGCAAAGTCCTGGGCCCTCGGCCCTCATGATCTGCAGGGGTCACAGGGCGGCCGATTCTCCCTCCCCTTACACAAAAGGGCTCCCTGTGCAGTTTGGGACCTGGAAACTGAAGGGGAAGCCGGTTTAGGGGCACCCAGTGTGCTCGAGGCCAGAGGGAGCCAGAGGGTCCTGTCCTGGTCCTGGGGGCCACAGCTCCACGCACACTCTGGGAGCCCTACCTGCCTGGCCTGCAGTTGCCACCCTAGGGGCTCTCAGGCCCCAGCAGTGGGGTCATTTGAGGATGGCTGGGGACTGCCCAACCTCGGCGACCACCCATATCAGGGACAGCCAGTAGTGTTTCTTTGCGACAGGGACCTCAGCCCGGGGGACACGTCCAACACTCAGATCCACCTTTATTGAAACATCACACGGCAGCATCAGGGCTCCCACACCTCACAGGGCTTCGGGGGCCTCACAGGGCTGCAGTGGGTTCACAGGGCTCCGGGGGGGTTCACAGGGCTCCGGGGGGGCTCACAGGGCAGTAGGGAGGCTCACAGGGCTGCAGGGGGTCAGAGGGCTTTGGGGGGCCTCACACGGGTGCAGGGGGGCTGAGAGAGCAGCAGGGAGGCTCATAGGGCTGCAGCAGGTTCACAGGGCTTTGGGGGGCCTCACAGGGCTGCAGGGGGCTCACAGGGCTCTCACAGGGCTGCAGGAGGGGTTCACAGGGCTGCAGGTAGGCTCATAGGGCTTTGGGGGGCCTCACAGGACTGCAGGGGGGCTGACAGAGCAGCAGGGAGGCTCACAGGGCAATAGGGGGTTCACAGAGCTTCGGGGCCCTCACAGGACTGCAGGGGGGCTCACAGGGATGCAGGGGGTTCACAGGGCTTCAGGAGCCTCACAGGGCTGCAGGGGGAGCTCACAGGGCCCTGTGTGCAGGGCTGCAGGTACAGAGAAGAGGCCCAGAGAATCCTAACACAGCCTGGGGCTCCGGGGAAAGCTGGGGCTTCCAGCAGGGCAGGTACAGAGGACCCTAGGAGTTGGCAGCAGCCTCAGCCTTGGGGACAGTCCCACAGAAGACACTGCATCTGGGCTCTTTAGCACAGGCCTCTACCCATCCTGGTCAGAGGAGCCCTCGGACAGTTTTGGGAAAGCCAGGCTGGGGTGTCCATGCTGCAGCAAGGACTCGTCCTCCTGCAAGCAGACCATATGCTGCACGTGAGGACTAGGCAGGGACGAGGCTGTGCAGCGCTGGTAACCCAGTGGGACCACAGGGAGGGAGTGTCCGGCTCAGGGCGAGGCACTGAGGCTCAGCTGCGGGCATGAGGTGGGGCCACGCCCAGCTACTCACCGAGTCTGAGCCCCGCTCCGCCGAGGTACTCTGGAAGTCTGCGTATGCATCCCTGGGGACGTCCAGCAGCTCCTCCTCATATTCCGTCTGGTAGTCAGATTCGTCTGGCACCGAGGGTAGGGCCACATCAGTTCCCTCCCAAGGAAGGGACCATGCCCAGCACAGCCACACTCAGAGGCAGAACTGGTCACAGATGCCCACCCCTGCCCCTAGGTGGCAGGGGCCCCACAGGCAGCCACCTGGTCCCAGGGCAGCCCTGCACACCACCCCTGGTTCTGTCTGCCTCCAGCCTTGCCCCAGCATATCACTTGGTAGGTCTTCCACAAGGACAAGGGGTGGCTAGACATTCCTCCCCTTGTCAGCCAGGCACCCTTAGGGCTCCAGCACCCCAGACCAGGCCTCTGTGGACAGCAGCTGCCTTGCCCAGGGCTCTCTCAGCCCACAGCAGCCACGAAAAGGCGTCTCCCGGGAGAATGTCCAGTTCTGCTGTCAGGAGGCCACTGGCCGAAGGCCCAAGTGCAGGGCCCTGGATGGAGCGTGGAGGGGAGTGGCCCTTCTGGCCCTGCTGCCCCTCCAACAAGCAGCCTTCATTCCCATTCCCACTGGGTGGGGTGGGGTGGGGTGGGAGGCAAAACGTGGTTCTACCTCAGGCCTGAGGTGTGGCTGGGACTTGGGGTGAATGAAGGGCAGAGGCTGGGTGGCCCAGGGTGGTCAAAGTCCCACTGCTGTGGGTACACGTGGTGCCCGGGACGGAGGAGCGCCACCAAGCACCCTAGCTGCTATAGCGTGGGCATGGACGTGGGCAGGAGGGGAGGCCGTGGGCCTCTGGGGTGGGGGCGTCGAGCCCAACACAGCATCAGGAGGCCACGCAGCCGCGAGCACCTCATCTTGGGCCTCCACTCACCATCCACCATGGCGGGCTTGGCGGGCTCAATGCAAGACACAATTTCAGCAAGGTCCGTGAAGGAGGCGTTGGGACAGGTGAGGACCTGGGGGTGGGGTGAGGACAGCATGTTGCCCGTGGACACCCACCTGCCAGTCCCCAGCCTGCTTCCTGTGGGAAGGCCCCACCCACCCTGTGCCCTCTCTGTAGCCTCCGCCTGCCCCCCAAGTTGGGGCAGGGGCAGGGGCAGGGGCCGGGGAGATGCGCAGTCCTGAGCAATCCTTGTCCTAGCCCTGGAGTTTCTGACCAGTGGGGCAGGGCCTGTGGCCTGAGGAACTGGGCGTGGTCTGGGGAGCTGGGCGTGGCCTGGGGAGCTGGGCGTGGTCCTGGCGCCCGCACTCACCTCACTCGAGGGCCTCTTGCTTGGGCCCTGCTGGTCGCGCAGCATCTTCTCCAGCACGCCACTGCGGCCCCAGATGTCAAACACCGTGCGCCCGTGCTGGTACCCCACTTCCTGTGCACACCCCCAGGGCCCCATCAGGAGGTGTGGGGAGCCCTCCACTTCCTGTCTTCTCAAAAGGGGGAAGCGGGGAGGGGCAGCCACCGGAGTGCCCTCCGCCCGCCTCTGCCGCTGCGGGTGTGGCCGGCACTCACGCAGATCTCGTTGAACTTGCTGAAGTCTAGGGTGCCGTAGCTGTCGATAGGGGGGCGCAGGTACTCGCAGTAGTCACTGCTCTTCACCACCTCCAGCTGCCGCACGCAGCACACGTAGGCCAGGCGCGTCTGAATCTCCGCCATGTTCAACACCTGCTACCGTCACAGCCGCCTGAGTCTCCTGCCCTGGCCCCTACCCCGTCCCAGCATGGCCCGTAGTGCAGGAGAGGTTCTGGGGACCCATCCTCCGACCTGGGGCTGCGGGGAGAGGGTAGCAGCTCCCGGCCGGGGGTCCCCACTGCGGGCTGCCACAGCCTTCAGGCCCGTCCGGCCTCGTCCCTTCTTTCCCCCGAGCTGGGCTCAGGCAGGGGTGGTGAGGGGTGGCCCCAGACCTGCTGGCCTCAGAGCCCAGGAGTGGCCCCCACTTCCCTGCCGCAGGACAGGTGTGGGGCTGCAGGGAGGAGCCGCAGGGACAGCCCAGTTCGCCCGGTAGCACCCCACCTTGACTTTCGTGGCCAAGGGGTTCCAGCGTTTCCACAGCAGCCACCAGCCAGACAGCGCATCCCCATAGTTGGTGAGGTCCGTCTCATCTCGGCTGCCCACATCAATGGCAATCACCACTTTTGCCCCCATGGACCGGGCCACATCCGCTAGGGAGAAGCCAGCCCTGGTTACCCCCTGGACAGGCATGCAGAGCCAGGGGACGGCGACAGAGCCTGCCTCCCTGAGACCTGACCTGGGGGCTGTGGGGTCTCCTCTCTGCCGTTACACCTTCTAGAGGCAGAAGACCCACACGCCCAGCTCAGTGGGCTGCTGTGGGCACACAGCTGTGTCCTGGGCCATTCTGACCGCATATCCCACAGGTGACAGGAGTGGCCTGGTCCCCAGCAAGGCCGACACCTGCAGGCTGTTAGTTTCTGACTGTGGGCACAGATGGGGCTTAATTGCTCCCAGTTACTCGACTTGGCCTTTGTTCTGCACGCTGCTGAGCTGACTAACAGGGCCATATGCTGGAGCACATGCTGCCGGTGCCTGCGTGTGCGTGTACACGCGTGTGCATGTTCTCGGAGCTCTGATGCCAGCCTGACATTTTTCCTTGGCACACTCTAAGGAAAACGTGTTCCAGCCCAGCCTTCTCGGAGCAAAGGCAGCAGCAGCGTGCGTGACCCAGGGCGGCGTGACCCAGGAGCCTGTGCTCCTGTCAGGTGTGGTCCCCACAACCGCAGTACCTGGGAGGTTGTTGATGTAGCCCCCATCCATCAGCAGGTGTCCGTCCTTGGGGTCACAGAGAGGCGGCATGTAACCGGACAGGGACATGCTGGCACGCACATACCGCCACAGGGAGCCTGGGGAGGGGGCCCGGAGTCGCTGGTTACCCGGAGGAGGCTTCTCCTGGGTCCAGGGGTCAGGGCCTTGCCTCTGCAGTCCTGGAGCTGGTAGGTCCCACCTCACTGAGGCCGCCTCCACAAAGGGAAGCACATGGCCCAAGGGCTGAACGAAATTGAGTTCTTTCTCTGGGGTCGCACTGCATTACGTGTGCCCAGGACCTCCAACTGCTGTGACCCCCTCACCCCAGGAGTGAGGGAGCCCCTCACTTTGTCCTCCCACATGATGTCCATCAGTCTAGCCCACATCACTGATTCTGCGAGGGTCCTGTCTGGC